CTAAATAACCTTTTGTCCACTAACCACCGAAGACAATTAAAAATGAAACCAAAGCTAGTAGGTACTTTCTTGATGTATGACACCTACTTTCTGCCTCACCATGGATAGATTTCTTGAAATTTTCTTGTCTTATTTTTCTGTCAGAGAAATTTTATTGAACACCTTGTTTTTATTTATCATGTTTAAGCCCTTAGTGCACAATAGTGGTGGGATAGCATGAGTAAACCAGTGATGCCACATACATTTAAATAGAAAAGTAGAAATACTTGATCTAGAATTAAGACTTGTGAATGAAACAAAGTAATTGTTGATGCAGAATTTCTTGAGGAATAGTGTAAAGCACTGTTCACTGATTATAAAATCCTATTTTCTCAAAACAGCATAGAATTACATAACTTCTGATTGTAAAGGTTGCCTGAAGTAATATTTTACTCAACCATAAATTGTTCTGACTACATTTCGTGCCTGATAAAATCCTTACATTATGATAGAAAATGTAAGCCCTTGTTATGTAAGTAATCTTTTAAGTTTTCTAAACAGAGAAGTCTTAAATTTTTCCTTAAAAATGGCATGATTAAAAGTATCACACTGTTCTTTGAAAATAGGCTAGCATAATTTTGGTCAAACTAACCTTGAAATTAGTCTTGAGGTATATTTTAAAGATATACATATACAAATACACGTGCACATATATACAGTTGACCCTTGAATAACACAGGGGTTGGGGCACTAGCTCTCTGTATGTTCAAATATCCATGTATAACTTGTGATTTCCCCAAAACTTAACTACTAAAAAGTCCTACTGTTGACTGAATGCCTCACTGATAACAAAAACAGATTAACACATATTTTATGGTATATGTATTATATATTATATTCTTACAATAATGTAAGCTAGAGAAAAGAAAGTGTTAAGAAAATCATAAGAAAGAGAAAATGTATGTACTATTCATTAAGTGGAAGTGGATCATCATAAAGGTCTTAATCCTTGTTGTCTTCGAGTTGAGTAGGCTGAGGTGGGGGAGGAAAAAGTGGGGTTGATCTTACTGTCTCAGGGGTGGCAGAGACAGAAAAGGTGGAGGTGGAAGGGGAGGCAGGAGAGTGAGGCACACTTGATGTTACTTTTATTGGAAAAAATCTGCCTTATAAGTTAACCTGTACAGTTCAAACCCATCTTGTTCAATGGTCAACTTTATTTTAATAGAATATTGTAAATTAATATGTGTGTTTGCATATCTACTGATTTATCTCAGTGAACATTTAGATACTAAGAGATGTGAATGCATTAGCTTAATGTTCCAATGGCAGTATAATTGCAGATCTCATGTAGCATTGAAGAATGCTTTATAACTTACAGGCTTAAACATACCATCATTGACTACATCTACTGTGTATAGAAAAATATGTTGAAAATTTGTTGAAGCTATTGTTAATGGGAGGCAGGGAGATATCATGGAAAGGATATGGGATTTAGAGCCAGACATACCTGTGTTCAACACTTAGTCCCACGTCTTCTAAATTTTGTAATCATGCTTTAGGTAAATTTCCCCATGAAACAAACTCTGAGACAGAGTGGTTTTCATGCAGGAAATTCATATTTATAGATATCCCAAATTGAAGAAAGGGGGCCTGGACTTTGTACTATCATATTAATCAGTCATGAGTTGTGAGCTGTCTGTGCAAGGGTGAATAACCCGCCTTGGCCAAAGCAGTTCCCTCTAGTGGAAAGAGAAACATTCTCAGAGAAAGACTTGTCTGTGGGCTTTCAGTAATCAACACTTCAGGCAGCTAGGGAAATGAGTGCCTTTTTAAGGAGGGGAATCTCACTCAGTGATGTCCTGCAGCATGGCTCTATTTACTTCATATAACAAGTTTATCACATCTGAGAACAGTGCCTCCAGAGTCATTTTTCTTGAGGAAACCTCTAAGAAATTAGTGGGAAGATTAGTGGGAACCACAGCCCCTGCCACTGCTGCTAAACACCAGGTCACAGTGGATACTTAAGGTATCTCTATTGTTTTCTCTACTGTCCATTCCAGAATTCCCTCAACCTCAGCCAGCACATATGTGGCTTATTTTGGGGGGTAATACAGACCATTACTAAGGGGTCTGAACCCTTCCTCACCATTCCCTTCTTAAATGGCTGCACATGTCCATTTACTATCAAAAATTGACAGGTAAATTTCAAGAAATATGCCATGAATCACCTACATGCCAGACATTCTTTTCTGCCCTTCTTGTCTAACAGCAGCCGTTTCTTCACCTGAAAATAAGTCAGTTACTGCCACCAGGATAGTGGCTCTTCTTGCTGGCAATCTCTTGGCACAGGAGCACAAAGTAATTTTGTACAGGATACATCTTAAAGTTTAATGAGACTCCTACTGTGTCCCCTCATGGAAACATTTCCTCTCAGGATCTTCCAGGATCTCTGTTTTTGTTTACCCTTGGTTCTAAATGCATGTATTCTGCCTATTGGGGATGCAGTAGCAAGAATGATAATTGATTTAGAGTGTTTACCACATCCTTTAGGATGTTACCTCAGTATTTCAAGATGTCATCTCCAAGGTGGTGCTTCAGCTGCACCATCAAAAGGCTGTTCCATCACTGTATCAGACCACCAGTTTCTACATCATGTGGTGTGTACTAGGATGAGTGGATCCTATTATTATGCACCTACTGTTCTACCTTAGTCCAAAGTAGTTCCATTGGTCTGGAGTGATATTATGTATATCGTGTATTCCTGTATCAAACACTCTGTAGAAAAAGGCCCCGTAGGCATGTAAGGCAAACCATGATTTGGAATTTGTTTCAATTCTATTCAAGTTGAATCACTCCTCCTTCTAAGGTGGAAGAGGTCCAGTGTCATAATCAGCTTACTTCCAAGTGGCTGTTGACTCAGACTTGGGATCAATACTGAAATTAATCCTTGTAGCTATTAGGTTGGATAGCTCATCAGCCTTTCTTTGCATGGGAAATCAGAAATGGATTACTGAGTGGCCTACATGAAACATATTGGTGCTACTGAAGGAACAGAAAGGAATTCATTCTAAGGCTTAAGAAAGATGTTCTAAGGCTTAAGAAAGGTGTGTGTGTGTGTGTGGTTGAAGGATGGAATTTCTTGGTAAGGTGTTAGAAATATAATAAAGCTGAGAAAAGGATCCAGAATAGGTCCTGGAAGTTCTTAAACTGCACAAGGCGGTAGTTCTCTAAAAACTCACTAATTTATGTATTTCATTCTTGCCTTTTTAATGTCCTGTTTTGTTTGCCCTTGGTTTCCAAGTTTCTTTTTAATGTTAGTTTCTTTTGGGCAAGACCAGTCAATTTATCAAATTAAAGGAATACAGTTCAACTTGGTAAGTTTTGGGCAAATCAATTACTTTAGTGAACCTCATTTTTCTCACTTTATCATTCATAAAATATTAGAGAAAATATACCTGCTTTGCAGAGTTATTATGAGATTTTAAAACATGTCTATAAAGTGCTTGTCTGTAGTAGGTGGTCAATCATTTCTTATTAATATTGAAAAAAATCCTAACAATCACTGCTGAGCTAAGGGGAAAAAGCTTCTATCATTGTTTGGGGCACTGGTTGTAGAGATGTGGCAAAGTAGAAGAAAGGCAAGCAGATGATATGAGTTAGTAAAGGTCCACTTTGCATCCTACCTAGGGATGTGCCTAATAAGATTTTTTTAGTAATTGGCCTTGTGTTTTATCTGGTTTTTGTTTTTCTTTTGAAATAGTATAATTTTTGTATTTATCATTAGATGTTCTCAGTTCTATGTTTTTACACTCAAAAAAATTTCTTTCTGTTTACAAAAATAAAGCATACTTACTATAAACATTTCAAGCACTAATATTTATGTATCATGGGTGAAAAAATTTCCCTCCTCAACCTATTACTAAAAGATTATCTTAAGTGTTTGATATTTATCCCTCTAGATTTTTTAATGTATAATCAGATATTACATATACATAAAATGTATTTTTAACAAAAGTAGAATCATATTTGGTATATTGATCTATCAAACACTCTGTAGGCTTTCAGATAATGATGCTAAACAGAGGCTTCAGGTCTTTTGTCTATAAAATTGGGATAATAACATTACTTCATGTGGTTGTTGTGTGAGTTAAATGAGAAACCTATGTAATTCATGTATCCTTGTGTGTAATATACATGTGTGTCATATACATGTAAGTCTGATTGTCTCATACTTACTATAAAGCAAATATTATCTATTGTTATTATGTTTGCCTGAATATATATCTAAGATCCTAACAGGATGTTTTATTTCAGTGTTTTTCTCTTACCTCTTCATTCCTCAAAGAGAACAATGGCTAGAAAACATTGGTTGGGTAAATACTGCATTATCATAATTACAATTTCCCTGAGAAAAGTGGCTTGCAGTTTGAATATTCAGCATCATAATTACAATTTCCATAAGGAATGTAGAACAGTTATTATAAACAACACAATAATCACTTGGTCCATAAGGGAGAACAGATTATTAGGGGAGTGAGGGGAGAGAAGAAGCAAACGCCTGTGTTCTAATCAGCGTTCAAGAACATAAATAGAGAACCTGAGGATAAATTGTAATAGCCCCTTAAAATACTCTGGCCTGAATTTATTGAAAAATCTTATCATGATGGCAAATTTCCATGGGTTAATTAAGTGCTACTTATGTAATTTGTTTTATAGTTTTGTCATTTTTATTAAACATCCCTTCCATATCTCTACTCATCATTCATAATCGTTATGTCTCTTAGAAATTTAAAAAGCAAACTATCACAAAATACAAAATGCATAAAATGTTTAAAAAATTTAGGAGAAAAAATGTTTCATCAGGTATTTCTCTCTCCAAAGTTAAATGTTGTTTTTCCTTTGTCCAAAGGAAAATGGGTAAAAACTTGAAAAAAAAGAAAAAGAAAATGTACTTTTTACTTCTTTTGTTGCTTTAATTGACTTTCATTTAAATTTATGTTTTTCTTGTCTTTTTCGTTTAGGTAAAATGAGCAAAACAGAATGCAGCTTCCAAGGTTGGTACTTTCCATGAATGACTTTATTATAAATTGATACTTTTTAATTATGTAAATTTATAGGATAAAGAGTGGTTATATATATTAATAATTTGTAAGCACAATGTGGAATAATTAAGTCAAGCTAGGTGAAATATTGATCAACTCAAATACTTATTTTTGTGGTATGAACCTTTAAAATTTACTCTCTTAGCAATTTTGAAATGTACAATACTCTATTCTTAACTATATACAGCATGCTATACAACAGAACTAGAAAAAAGGGAAATAAATCCCCCTGAGATTTTGTACCTTTGACCATCATCTCCACATTCTCCCACTTCCCAGTCTCTGTAACCACCATTTTACTCTGTTTCTATGATTTCGATTGTTTTAGAGTCCACATATACGTGAGAACATATAGTGCTTTTTTTTTCTGTCCCTGACTTATTTTACTTAGTATAATGTTCTCCAGTTCTATCCATGTTGTCACAAATGACAGAATTTAGCATGCATGTTAATATGAAACATTTTAAAAGTAGCAGAGCGAAAGATATACTTAGTTTCTCACAGATAGCTATTGAAAGATATTATGTTTTTATTTTCCTCCCTCATGCATGGAAAAGTACAACATGGATTTAACAGAATGCAATATAGCAATCAAATATAATAGCTGATTCAATCCTTGGCAAAATTGTGAATTTGGAAATATTTAATATTTTCTACTTAATTCATCCATTCACCCATCCATCCATCCTTTAATTCATATGTATTTTTCAATGAATATTTATACTTACTATTATATACAAGGCCCCGGTCATCTGATTTTCCTATGTTCATATTTAGTTTGACCCACTTTCACCGGATCCCAACCCCATTCCTTTCAACAGCACTTCCTGCTATCTCTGACAATAAACCTTCACCTATTATCACAGGTCCTTAATTTAACTTGCTGTATTTGATAAATTGGCAGCATTTCCTTAACATTGCTCAGCTAATGTGTATTCATATATATCTACTCCCAAGTAATTAGGCCAAAGAGGATGTTATCAGTATGAAAATAAGGAAATGATTCCTACTCTAATCTTATAATGGACTGTGTGATGTCTTTTGCCATTGTGTGAAATACATATGTATTTCTATTAGGGGTAGTAATCTGTAATACCATAGAAATTATAGAACATAGGTCTTATTTCCCTGTACCTTTTAAGTAATTTTAAGATTTTCTGACCAAGGACAGAATGTTGCTACGATAAATTTTAAAACAAAAAAGACATTAGGCAGCCAAATAGCAGACGAGATAGATGTAGAATGACTCTTTGTAAGAATGGCAAATGGTGGTTTGAAGCAAAGTTTGTGAGAGGCAGAGACTGAAAATTTTCTACTGAGCAAGGACTGGTAAGTGGATATTAATAGCACAGTATTTATTAAACTAATTTAAAATGGGAAAATAATATTGTATTTAATTTAGGAAGGTGTTTTATTATTTTATTTTAATAAACATTAATAAACCTATAAAGGCTTTCTCAATTTTATTACTATCGTTGATTTCCCTAGCCCATTTTTAAAGATAGTTTTTAGGCCCTCAACAGAAAATTCTACTACCAGGGGTGTTTTCAGAAACACAGTTGTTGTAACTACAAAGGGACTTCAATGTCTCTCTGCCAATCTAATTTAATTTAATCCAATCTAAAATCAGATTGCCTGGGTTTGAATCCTGTTTGCCTATGTACTATCTTGTACCTTGGGCCAGCTTATTAACAACTCTTATCCTTATTTCCTTTGTTACAAAATGAGAGAAATAATATACTTTCCTCATAAGATTGTTAGGAAATAAATAAGATACTATACTTACAAGTCACTTTGGTATATTGTAAGAATGCAGTAAACGACAGTTGCCATTATTATTACTTTGCTATTATTACTCTTATTTTTAGAATTATTATTAGGGGAAGGTCGCATCTTTCCCTCTCTGAAATAAACTTCCTTCAAGGACTTGATCCCTAATGTTTCACCATTAGGGATGTATTAATTGTATAACATTTTGTACCATGCGCAAATATAAATAACCAGGGATTGTCTTTCAACTTGTGACATCTTGTTATGGCATGTGCTTTATTTTCTTAATATGAGATTTTGATAAATATCACTAAGGTGAAAGAAAAAAACAATTTGAATGATTGCTGAGAGAAGGAGATGAAGAAGGTAATAGAAAGAAGGGAGTCAATAGAAGGAGACCTTTGGTGCCAATTTTCAAATCTTGCTCAGACAGAATCCAGCATGGCTTGTACCTTTTGTGTAGAAAGTTCCTTCATTCATGGTGATGTGAGGAATGACAGAGGGAAGGCTGCAGATTGGTAGGAGAGGAGAGATTGTCAGTCATTCTTTCCTGGCAATACTAGTGATAGGGAGGGCAATCTAAGGGACAGAGTGGAAGAGCTATACAAAACGAAGTAATTACAGGTCCTTTCCTCTTGGTGAGATCCATAGAGTGTTGTGTGTATGTATTGTTCGTGTGCACCAAAGTAGATGAGGAAAGCCAATGCTCCATTGGTGGACATCGGCCAGTGACCTCAAAGCAGCTCACTGACACCCAAAAGCCATGCAGCTGCAACCTCAGATGCTCAGTCTCAGGGTGAGCCCAAAGGCAAGGAGACTGAGTGAAAAGACCCCACTTTATTCAGCCTACCTGTGGAGAGCAATGGACACCCTAAGCTCCATTAGATTGATAGCACAGAGAAGGGAAATTTGTCAGCTTCACAAGCTACTGAATTCATTGCAACAGTTATCATGGTGATTAAGTAAACATGTTAAGCTTAGGTTTTCTGTAGAGAAAGAACCCTAGTCTATGGCCATACCACCCTGAACGCGCCCGATCTTGTCTGATCTCAGAAGCTAAGCAGGGTCGGGCCTGGTTAGTACTTGGAAGGGAGAAAGAACCCTCTGTAATTCAGTGGAGAAAATGCCACTTCTAATTTGGTGTAATAGAAATTGCCAGGTATATTATAATTCAAATGAAGTAAGATAACACTGAAAATTCTTAATCTGGTCTCTGAGATAGCAACTTTGGAATTGAGTTTATATATTATATAAGCACACCTAGATAAAGGTGCAGTATAGATCTGCAATGACAAGGTACTATGGTATGAATGTTTTGTCCCCCAAAAGTTCATATGTTAACCTTCAAGGTGATGGTATTGGGAGGTGGGGTCTTTGGGGAGATGATTAATTAGATCGTGAGTGTAGATCTCTCAAGAATGGGTTTAGTGCCCTTATAAAACTGGCACAGGAGAGCTGCCTTGTCACTCACATGATGTGACGTTGCAGAAAGTGCTGCCTATAAGGAAGCAGGTTCTCACCATACACTACATCTGACTGTGCCTTGATCTTGAATTTCCCAGCTTCCAAAACTGTGGGAAATAAGTTTCTGTTGTTTAAATTTATCCAGTGGGTGATATTTTGTTATAGAAGGCAGAATAGAATGGGACATAAGGGTTCTCATCTACAAGGGTCATAAACAGCAATAGAGTGAAATGGAACTGTGGTCTGTATACTATAGTCCATAGACAAATGACAAATCTTAATTATTGCCCCTCCTGTGAAAGTACAATGCCCTTGTGGAGAAATAGAGGGAAAATTTCTTCATAGCTCTAGACCTACCTCTAGGTAATATTTAAATATTTGATTGAAGGGTCCAAATTTTGAGCCTACCTATGACACAGAGTCTATCCCTTCAATATGCCATGGTCACAAGACCATTGTATATAAATATATAAACTCTATATAGATGTTCTGATGGTTTGCATTATCCACTGTAGTTATTATCATGCCCTTCTTATGAAAGAGAATCCTAGAAATTTTTATTTCATTATTTTTTTAAATGTAGGTCTTTTATTATTTCTTTCAGCAGCATTTTGTAATTTTTAAGCATGTAGAATCTGTACATATTTTGTTATATTTCTACCTAATTATTTTATTCTCTCCAGAGCAATTATAAATAGTATTGTATTTTAAACTTGTATTCATATATTTATTATGTTTTTACCTTAGTTTATTTCACTTTATTTATTTATTATTTTTTATTTCAGAATGGTACATGAATTGATTTTGTACACTTTGAGTCAAAATTGTAAGTGTACCTGTCAGCCAGATAGTGTGCATTGTACCTGTTAGGTGTGAATTTACCCATCCCATACCCCTCCTGCTTGATTTCTGGTAAGATTTACTTCCATAAGTGCACATGAATGTTGATCAATAGTTTCAATGTAGTAGTGAGTACATGTGGTGATTGTTTTTACATTCTTGCAATACTTCACTTAGAAGAATGGTTTCCAGTTCCATCAGGTTGTTACAAAAGGTATTACTTCAATATTTATTTCTATGGCTGAGTAGTACTCCATGGTATACATATACCACATTTTATTAATTTATTCATGTATTGATGGGAACTTGGGGATGATTCCACATCTTTGGAATTGTGGATTGAAGATGTGCTGCAAAAAACATTCAAGTGCCAATGTCTTTCGATAAAATGACTTTTTTTCCTTTTGGATAAATACCCAATAGGGGGATGGCTAGTTCAAATGGTAGGTCTACTTTTAGTTCTTTGAGGTATCTCTATACAACTTTCCACAGAGATTGTACTATTTTGCAGTCCCACCAACGGTGTATAAGTTCCTTTCTCTCTGCAACCATGCCAACATATGTTGTTTGGGATGTTTTTTGATAAAAGTCATTTTCACAGGAATTAGATGATATCTCATTGTGGTTTTGATTTGCATTTCCCTGATGATTAGAGATGTTGAACATTTTTTCATATTTTTATTGCCCATTAGTCTATCTTCTTTTGAAAAGTTTCTTTTCATATCTTTGCCCAACTTTTAATGGAGTTGTTTGGTATTCTCGTGCAGATTTTCTTGAGTTCTTTGTAGATTTTGATTATTAGTCTTTTGTGGGATACATAGCATGTAAATATTTTCTCCCATTCTGTATGTTGTCTATTCTCTCTATTGATTGTTTTG